TATTATTATTATTATTATTATTATTATTATTATTATTATTTGTGTTTGCAATATTCAATAATAGTTGGCCCCATAAAACCCAGAAAGTGGTACAACTGGGCATTGGTAGGCTAACACAGCCTTAATTTACAATTTTAATTGCTGAGGTACTCATCTTAAAGAGCCAATGTGGCATAGGGGTTTGAGTTCTGGACTACAACTCTGGAGACCAGGGTTCAATTCTCAGCTCAGGCCATGGAAATCCACTAAGTGACCCATGGGAAGGCATTCTCTCTTAGCCTCACGGGAAGGCAATGACAAACCCCCTCTGAACAAATTTTGCCATGAAAACTCCATGATAGCCTTAGGATTACCATAAATTGAAATCACCCTTAAGGAACACAACAGCAACAACACATCTGTAACAGAATTGTGGGGAAATGGGTTTACAGCAAAGAATACACATCCCCTTCAATATGTTGCTTGACCCTGAGACTGCCTAACATTTATTTTTAGATGGGTTATTGACACTTGTTTGTATTACCAGGTATTAAATTTAATTCTCCCTTCTTTTTCTGAGGAGATTTTAATTTGTTTGGTGTGTTCTTTAATTCATTCATTTTTATATCTTTCACATCTCTCAGGACTGGAATTCAAGGCATCTCATACGAAGAAAAAAGAAAAGTGCAAACAAAACCACAAGAACTATAATACTGTTTATGCAATTGAGAAATTCATAATATGGAAACACAATTAAAAGCACAGCAATTTATTAAAAAATAACATTCAGGGGTAGCTGTGTTGGTCATTTAGCAAATTCAAACAAAAATCCATCAGTGATACCTTTATTGGCCAACCAATATGCACAATATACTTGTTGCAAATTTTCAAAGCTCCATGAGCTTCTTCACCAGGCAAGATGTTACAAACCAAACAGGAGAACAGGGACAACAGGGCCAGGGAAAACAAGTCCTACAAAAAATATCCTCCCCACCATATACCATCTTAACTGAAGACTGAAACAACACATAGGCACCTGACTAACATCTCCAATTGTTTCTCTCCTGTTTGGTTTGCAACGTCTTGCCTGATGAAGAAGCCCATGGAGCCTCGAAAGCTTGCAACAAGTATATTGTGCATTTTGGTTGGCCAATAAAGGTAGCACTGGAGCAATTTATAAAGTACAACACCCACCCATTAAAAACATTTTCCTACGTTAGCCATTATAATACTGTTTAATACCCTTTAACATGTACTTCACCTAGAGGACATAGATGACTAATAAATAATTTTATAAATTTGTGCTTGAATATTATATGACCTGTTCCATCACAAAACTTTGTTTATACCTAGCTAAGTAGCTGAGGTGTTTAGAAATCTGGTTACTGAATTGGAAAGATTTGTATGGACACTGGCAGGAGTGCTTGATGCACACTGGTGCCCGATGCACATTGGGACTGAGGCGACATACATTGATCCTGTTATGGATCAGTCCCGTTGTGCATCAGACATTTTGCCAGCTGTGCTGTGTATAATGTAACAGCTAACAGATGTTTCTTCTAATCCCTTCTCTGAAACGCATAGTTGTCTCATTTTACTGCAGTATCACTGACGGATATCTCCTCTAAATCCAAGGGAAGAGAGCACTTTCAGGCCACACAAATGTTCCCCTTAAAGCTACAGCATATTTCTGGTTAATGACACTGTCAAGGTGCAACATATCCCTCATGTTTAACAGGAAAAGTGTGATGAAGCTTAACGAGTGGGGAAGGATGGCTTTGCTTTTACATTGACAACTGTTTTACTTTCCAGTATGCTAGAGAGGTAGAATTCAATTCATATATTTTACTTTCAAGCCAGAATAAACTCAGGGTCATTTCTCTATTTCTTCCTGGAAGCTAGCTCAACAAGAAAGAGGAAATCTTTGTGTCATGCTGTTTTAACAGCAGTTGATGTTGAAGGTAAGGCTGTCTTTGCTTTGATAACTCTATTGTTACCAAATAAATGGTTCATGTTTAAATTTAGAAGGCTTCTGAGATAAATGAAGGTGACCAGCTGCTCTTCCTTTAGTCAGAGTTGCCAGTTTTTCTACTTGCAGCTTGAAGAATGAACATTAACCAGTAAGAATATGTAGCTTCTAGGCCGGCTGTGAAAAAGACTGTTTGAACATGTTGAACTTTGGCTGCATCCACACTGCAGAAATAATTCAGTTTGACATCACATTAAATGCCATGGCTCAATGCTATGGAATTCTTGGATTTGTAGTTTTGTAAAACATTTAGCCTTCTCTTTCAGAGAGCTCTGGTGCCACAATAATGTACAATTCCCAGAATTACATAGTACTGAACCACAGACATTAAAGTAGGGTTAAACTGGATTGTTTTTGCAGTATAGATGCAGTTTAAATCACAACTATAAACCAGGCAATGCCCCCCCCCCAAAAAAACACCAAATCTGCAAACTGAATCCAAAGTGCAAAAATAGGTTTAACTCAATTAATTTAATGGGGGTTATGGGGGTTGAGATGGAATTTTGCCCCCCCCCCCGAAGACTCAGGCAAAAGCAAACTGCTGAGCCTCTCTCTCCTAGTTTGTCTGTTCTTCCTCATTAATAACTTTTGTCCTCTTGACCATCCTCTCATTTTGCTTGGTCGCATGCTTTCTGGTTTTCATCTGTGAAATGTTGGGAGGTATGAAAAGGCCATCTCTGGTTTGAAAGAATGCAGTGATTTGGCAATATGTG